AGTAAAACGTAGGGTATGCAGGGTAGTTTGATCTCAGTGGGATAATAGGTCGGTACAACATCGTGGGCCAAGGGCCTGTACTATGCTGTACTGATCTATGAAAAGGACAGGCAGATGGGCAGAAAAAGTGGGGTCACCTTGTTATTGAGAAATGAAACTAAATTAAAAGAAATTAAGGTGTGGAATCCACGGGGGTAGTTGGGTGTTATGTGCAGGCCCCCTAGCAGTATTACGGATGTGGGGAAAAGAAATCAGGAGATTGAAAAGATATGTAAGAAAGACACTATTACAATAATCATGGGGGACCTCAATATCGAAGTAGACTGGGAAAATCGGGTTGATAGCAAATTCCAAGAAAAGGAATGTATGGAATGTCTACAAGACTTTTTTTTGGAGCAGCCACTAGCAAACAGGCCATTCTAGATGTGGTGTTGTGTAACAAAACAGACTTGATTCATAAGCTGAAGGTGAAGGGGACAGTGACAATGATATGAATAGAATTCACCCTGTAGTTTGAGAGAGAAGTTGGAATTAAATGCAATTGCATCACAATTCAGCAAAGGTATGAGGGAGGAGCTGACCACAGTTGATGGGAAGGGGAGCCTAGCAGGGAAGACAGCGAAGCATCAATGGCTTGAGTTTCTGGGAGTAATTTCAGAAGGACAGCAATAAAAGCAAAAGAAAAAGCATACAGTGTGGTCATGACTAGTTGGAAGCCAGAGGATTGGCAATTCTTTAAAAACCAGCAGGGGTAACTAAAAATTGCTATGGGGGAGAAAATGAAGTGAGGGTAAACTAGCTAATAATATTAAAGCAGATTGGAAGAGGTTTTTAAATATATAAAAGGTAAGGCAGGAAGAGAAGTAGACATTGGACCCCTGGAAAGTAGTAATGGGAAACAAAGAAACTGCAGAGGAACTGAAAAGGTACTTTGGATAAGTTTTCATGGTGGAAGGTACCAGTAGCATAGCAGACGCTCAAGATTTTGAGGGATGTGTGGTCAGCGGGGGTGGGGGTGTTGTGAGAGAGTGGAGAATAGTGACCATCACTAAAGAAAAGCTGGGAAAGCTGAAAGGTCTGAAGGTGAATAAATCAACCAGAACAGGTGGACCACACCCTAGAGTTCTGAAGGCAATAGCTAACGAGTTCACAGAGGCATCTGAAGTGATCTTTTGGGAATTACTGGAGTTGGGGAGACTCCCAGATGGCTGGAAAATGGTTAATGTAAGACCCCTGTTTAAGAAGGGAGGGAGAAGACAGGAAAATATAGACCAATCATTGGCAGTGCATAATAAAATAAGGCTCAGTCAGCACGGCTTCATAAAGGAAAGGTCTCACCTGACAAAAGAGCAAGGTAGACAGTGGATGTGGATGTCATGCAGTCGATGTGCTCTATTTGGATTTTCAGAAGGCATTTTATGAAGTGCTGTACAGGAGGCAGCTAAAGATGATAAGAGTCCATGGTGTTAGGGGCAAGGCACGGCATGAATATAGTGGACTGGCTGACTGGTAGAAGGCAGAGAGTGGGAATAAAGGGGTATTTTTATCCCTTTACAGTCTCTAGTGGAATTCTGCAAGGGTCCACATAGGAGCCACAACTATTCACATTACACATTAACAATCCAGATGAAGGAAATGAGAGCACTGTGGCTAAATATACAGATGACACCAAGGCTAGTGGAGGGATTAGTAGTGCTGTGCAAGCAGAGAGGCTGCAGAAGGATTGGATAGGATAAGAGGGACAGCAAAGAAGTGACGGATGGAACATAATGTGGGAAAGTGAGGTTATGCACTTTGGTAGCAAAAGAACCCATAGACTATTTTCCATACGAGCTAAGACGTTGGAAATCTGAAGCACATGAGGTCTTAGAAGTCACTGTTGAGGATTCTCTTAAGGCTAACATGCAGGCTCAGTTGGCAGTTGGGAAGGCAAATGCGATGTGTAGCATTCACTTCAAGAGGGCCAGAATGCAAAGGCAGAGATGTAGGTTTACAAGGCACTGGTCAGACTGCATCTGGAATACTGAGAGCAGTTTTGGGCCCCATATCTAAGGAAAGACGTGCTGGTATTGGAGGGGGTCCAAAGAAGTTTTACAAAAATGATCCCTGGAATGACGGGCTTGACATGTGAGAAGTAGTTGTGGACTCTGGGTCTATACCTGATGGAGTTTAGAAGGGGGGATCCCACTGAAATTTATAGAATATTGAGAGGCCTGAATAGAGTAGATGTGGAGAAGATGTTTCCAATAATAGGAGAGACTAGGACTCGAGGGCACACACTTAGAGTGAAGGGACGATGGTTTAGAACCAAGATTAAGACGAATTACTTCAGCTGGGGGTGGCTAATCCATGGAAGCCAATTTATCGAGTGTATTTAAGACAGGGATAGATAGCGTCATGATTAGCGAGGGGAGCAAGGGTATTCGGAAGAAGGCAGGAGAACAGGGTTGAGAAACAAATCAGCTGTGATCAAATGGTAGCGTTTACATGATAGGCTGAATGACTTAATTCTGCTCCACTGCAGGCAGAAGAACTTGTAATGGGTAACAGAAAAATGGCAGTGAAGCTAATGATTACTTTTCTGTCTTCACTGTGCAACCTCCAAAAAATAGAGATCCAAGGGGTGAAGCATAGTGAAGAACTGAAGGAAAATAGGCTTAGTGAGAAGGTTGTGTTAGAGCAACTAATGAGATTGACAGTAGATAAGTTAATAGGAAATCATGTTTGCTGTTGGGAGTTTTTAGTGGATTTCACTCCCAGAATTGATAAAAAGAAGTTAATGGACATAGTATATCTGGATTTTCAAAAGGCTCTTGACAAAGTCCTCTACAGGAATTGGCATGGGCTCCAACTAGAAGGGCAGCAAATGCATGGGAATGCCGCCACCTGAAAGCTCCCTTCCAAATCACACACTATCCTGATTTAGAACTATACCATATTTCCTTCACCATTGCTGGGTCAATATCCTGAAACCCCTTTCTCAACAGCACTGTGTATCCCCCTATAGTTCAAGGACCGCAACAGTTCAAGAAGGCAGCTTACCACCACCTTTTTTAGGGCAATTAGGGATGCATAATAAATGGTGGCTTAGCTATCAATACCCACACACCATTAACAAATATTATAAATAGAAGACAACGTATTGGTGTGGATTAAAGATTTTTTAACAGGCAGAAAGTGGGAGTAAGTCTGTGATTCTCATGTTGGCAGGCTAAGACTAGTGAGGTACAACAAGGATCAATATCTGGGGCCTTAGCTGTTCAATATGTATACCAACGACTTGGATGAGAGGATCAGATATAACATTTTGAAGTTCGTGGATACAACAAAACTAGCTAGGTGTTCTATGAGGATGCTGCAAAGGCTTCTAGAGGATTTCAACAGACCTCAAAAGTGAGCAAGAATATGACATATGAAACATAAAGCAGAAAAATGAGAGCTTACCCACTTTGGCAGAGGAAAAGATGTGCACAGGTATCTGTTAAATGCCAGGAGATTCGAAGTACAAAAGAGACCTGGTGGCCTAGTCAGTAAAGCATTGAATGTGAACACGCTGTGCAACAAGCAACTTGGAAGGCTAGTGTTGTGAGTCTTGGTCCTCTTAGCTTAGGAAGGATGTTACTGCCATGGACGAAGTGCAATGGAGATGCACCAAATTTGTTCCCAGAATGACAGGACCATCCTTTGAAGTGATGTTGGGGAAAACAGGGGCCTGCGTCATTAGAAAGCTTTTAAGAATGAGAGGTGATCTCTTGAAACTTAGAAGATAATTAAAGGGACAGGCAGGATAGATGCAGTTGAGGTCTCCTCTGTTGGTGAGTCTGGAAACAGGCGGCACAATTTCAGAATAAGATGGAAGCACTGAGGGCAGAGATGAAATTTTATTCTTTACTTGGAAGGTTGTGAACCTTCAGAACTTTCTGCCTCAAAAGGCGTTGGAAGTTCAGTCATTGAATATGTTTAAAGCTCAAATTGACAGATTTCTAAATACCGTAATGGACCATGTATTTTTCTTTTTATAAACTGAAACAGAAGTCAGACTGTTACTTAGCTAGAACACCAAGAGAGTTCTGTGACCTGAAAAAGTCAATTGATGGACATTTTTAGCTGTGCAAGACATTATTGCTTTTCAAAGCAGAGTGTTCATTAGTATGAGACTAAGGGGTACTGAAAATCTTTGAGTTAAAAGATAAGACTGTCTGATGTCAGGTCTGAGTGGTTGAGTTCCAGTTTGCTACAAAATCTGTAGATGCAGCGCAGACAGAGACATCAAGAGTCTGCAAAGCAAAGACATCTCTCTCTCTCTCCCGCTTTCCTCTCATGGGCGTAAAGACATAAAAACCAGGAAAACTTAAAGAATTATGACATGAACAAGTCTGGATCAACTATTAAGGTGAGGAATGGCCATTGTCAACACATCTGACATTATTATTAAAATAAAAAGAAATTGACAGAGACAACTAATGCCACATTTATGGTTTGGACTTTCGATTTTCAGCATTTTGTTCCCCATTTGTTTTTTATTCACATTTAGTCAAAACATTAATCTTTTGTCTGCCTTAATTGTGAATGAGGGTGTTGTGTTTGGGGGTTTTAAATGGGTATGGTTTTAAGCCACATGGTAGTAAATAAGGAATCCTCTCTCTGCCATTTATTGAAATGCATAACAATAAAAAGAGTTAATTCTGTTAATGATGAAACCTGGTCATGAATAGCAGTCAGGCAAATTATCATTGTGAATAGGGTTAGGAACTTGCGAAACAGTGGGGCATGACTTTCGGCTCTCCCCACTTATACTGTGGCAACACCAATAACAAAGGCATATAGGGATTGTGAGGGGAAAAAAAAGGATTTGAAGTGGATGCTCAGTCATGACGATTAAATGGCAGAGAAGATTCGATGGGTTGAATGGCCTACTCCTACGATCCTATATTTTAAAATGCTATAAGAGTAACATTTTGCATTCTGGGCTAAAATACAACTAAAACCAAAATACTTACATCTACTGGGTTTGGAGGGAAATGTATCCCTACTTCAGTTTTGTATGGGTAGTTGAACATGGCTAAGTAAGTAAAAGCATTTCTTGCCCATCCATAGAGATGATCAACATCTTTCTTGGATTTCACTGACTTACAGAGAGACAGTTTATTGGTGATCTTACTCCATGCTGTAAAATAGAGATATACAGACAAAGAAGTTAGATTCTGTGATTGATTGATTTCCTTACTCAGCAGTTCATTCAAATCTTGAAAAATATGACAAACAGAACCTACAGCCTCAATTCTATGCTGGAAATTAAGTATCCGACATAGTGGGAAATGAGTGCAATAATACAATGAACTTCTCATATCAATGTAGAGAAAAAAAAGTACATGTGACACACAAAATAGCTCTTTTGCACATTAAATTTCTGGCACTGAAAAAATATCATTGACAGAGTTTGCAAATATAGATGCACCCATGATCTAGGCCAATTTTCCAGCAGGAACAATTTGTATAGCCTTGTTAGGTTCCCATGTTTCTATTAACATATTTTCTGGCTGCTGCGAGACTCAGAGGGTAGCATTATTAGCATGCCACAACCTGCTGTAAAATACATCTTTAAAGTCTGAATTTGATGCTAAGTGTCACTCTTGTATTGAACACTTGCATTTAAAATAATTAACTTCCTGCTTCTACCACTACAGCAACATTGGCCACCAGGAGCAAACGCATATCTAGTTGAGATAACAAAGTTTAGAGCTGGATGAACACAGCAGGCCAAGCAGCATCATAGGAGCAGGAAGGCTGACGTTTCGGGCCTAGACCCTTCATCAGAAATGGGATAGTTTCCTTCTTTGTACACGTTTACAGTGGTCTCACTGATTTATGCGTACAATGATTGCATTCTTCCTCGAATATTCAGTGGTAAAAAGCATGAAATTATGTACGGATCTTGTGACCCTGAAGATTATGAACTTCTTTTAAACAGAAGATACCCCATACCTTGTTGCTGTGCCAAAAATTCAAGCTCCTGAAACCCTTTCCGGATTGTCAAAACACATTCAGGTGAGTTACGCTCAAAATCCTGATCAAAAAATTAAAAACTATTATCACACATGCCAATGAATAACATTAAATTGAAGTTAGTCACAGTTAAAGTAAAAAAGTAGTACTTTACAGCACCTTTCACACCCCAAAACACTTCACAACCAATGAGTTTATCCTTAATTGTAGTCATTATTATTGTATAGGCTAATGCAGCAACCAATATATAGCAGTGTTCCAAGAATAGCAAGGGTATAACTGTACTTTAACCAGTCGCAGGGTGGTGGCTGAGGGATGAATTTTAACCAAGCCAGCCAAGGTGAACATCCTGCTCTTCTTCAAATTATGCAATGCGATTCCTGAGGAAGTAATTGGGACATTGGTTTAAAATCAAGAGTCAGCCTGGGTTAGTTCTGGGGGTGCAGCTCAAATTCGCAACTTTCTTACTCATACGAGTGTTCCATGAGTAAAACAGATGCTACTTTGAAAAAAAAAAACTAAATCCATTTAAGCATTCTGTCAGAATCCTTTTACTAATGAAAGATTCTGAAGAAAAAACAAGCTATAAAATAGATTATACTTCTCATGGGATTTTGAGATTGCTTCCATTATATATGAAAATACTGAAGGAGTCTCTTTGGATAATCTAATGAGATTAACAATTCCATTTTATATTATGGTAGATTTTAACCAAAAGGCATGCTTGGGATCTAACATGTTTAGGTTACAGTTCATAAAATTGCACCATCAAGACTGATTGGAAGGTCGAAACTGTACATTATATGAACCCAAAATGTTTTACATAAAAACATAAGAACTTTGCAGACAGTCAGCCCCTCAAACCTCCACTGCCATTTAATATGATTGTGGCTGATCTCATCTCGGCCTCAACTGCACTTTCTGAACACTCCTCATAACCCTTCAACCCATTAATTAAAAATCTGTCTCTTCAAATTTATTCACCGTCCCAGCATCCACTGCACTCTGGCTAGTGAATTCCACAAATTATCAACCCTTTGAGAGAAGTAATTTGTCCTCAACTCTGTTTGAAATCTGCCACTCCTTAGCCTAACGCTATGACCTCATGTTCTAGATTGCCACACAAGGGGAAACATCCGCTCTGTCTACTTTAACCCCTTTAGCATCTTATATACCTCAATCAGATCTCCTCACAACCTTCTTAACTCGAAGAAGTATAGGCCTAAACTGCTCAATCTCTCCTACGTCCTTCATCTCTGGAATCAATCCAGTGAACCTTCTCTGAATTACCTCCAGTGCAATTACATCCTTAACATATTAATCTCTCATTTCACTAAAGTGTAATACTTTGTAAATTTAATAGACTTGAAACAAAATTAATAAATGTTAAGAATTACCAAATAATCAAGCGATGAATGAATGCTGTTCAATATCCCTATTTTGGGGGTCTGTCTGGTTTTTATATTTTTCTCTGTGCTTTCTTAAAATTATCAAGCTATTTGTTGAGCCAAGCATTATTAAAAATTGATTTCTTCTTAAATTTGCAAAACTTTCCCAGTATTTTATCAAGAATTAAATCCATTTATGATTCTGCATGCAACAGAACATGCATTCAAAGATCACAACAGCATGTTCATAGCACCTAGTCCTAAATTACTTGTCAATCAACTAGATTTCTTGGACAATTTCAAGATTTCTTTGGCTTTGCTGATTTATGTAAATTCTACAACATAGAAAGAGGAAATAAGATGACAAGAAATATATTTAACTACTTTCTGCATCACAGAGTTTCCATCATCTGAGTTTCTAGATATTGCAGATAGGGACAATATCCTTCCAACCGTTATACAATTTTCAAAGGGCTTGACAGAGTAAGATTTATGCAAGTTTCAGGCAAATCCTCCCTGGACTGACCTATCCCCTTCCTAACTCCCCACCTACACTCACCTTTCCTGGCTCCATCCCCGCCTCTTCGACCTGTTTGTTTCCTCTCCACCTATCCTCTCCTCTATCCCTCTTCTATCCGCCTCCCACTCTCTCCCTATTTATTTCAAAACCCCCTTCCCCTCCCCCTTTTCTGATGAAGGGTCTAGGCCCGAAACGTCAGCCTCTCTGCTCCTATGATGCTGCTTGGCCTGCTGTGTTCATCCAGCCCTGCACCTTGTTGTCTTGGATTCTCCAGCATCTGCAGTTCCTACTATCTCTCTTTCATACAGATATGGCCAGCTTTTACTGCCTCTTCCCAACCCTACTCCATTATGCCACAATTCCCTCTTGCTTATATATACACATCAAGCCTCATCTCAAGGAGAATAATGCAATACCTACTTCACTCTGATGTGGCAGTATATTCCACAATCTTTCTGTGGAATATATTCCATTCATAAATAAAATTAATGTTATCTAATGCTAAAATAACATTGAGAGATATGTGAACAAGGAAACTTAAGATTCTTTTGGGACTACTGCGAGGTAAGTATCAACCTACGCATGTATAAATCATTGTAGACTACCATTTAACTTAAATATATGTTAGTCCCCTGCTTATTTTTCTAAAGTTTACTATTACGCAAAACACAGACTTCTTACTTATATATGCCAAATTTACTAACTTGAAGTTTAATTCTTACCCTTGATTTTCCAATGATAACAACACTCAAAACATCCTCTGTTTTTAAACTCAATCACAAAACTAACTTTAAAAAGTCCTTGAATATCAAAAACACAAGGTCAATTTGATGTAAACATGATTCTTGCTATTTGATGGCAAAATCTGGCACAGATCCAAATTGAAACCAAATACACAGCAGAGGGCTCTGCTGAGGTTCATTGCTATCAAATTTTAATAATAGAGTTCATCATATGTGTAAGAAGTATCAAATAGTAAAATAAATAAAAACTAGATGAATAGCTTAAATTAAGGAATGAACTGTCTCCAAAAATATGTTTTTGGAGTAACTAGAATTCTGGAGCAATTAGGAAAACACAAAAAAAACGCAGCAAAAAGAAACAGATGAATGTGGACACTTGCATATCATATTCATACTCACTTTGGTTACATCATGAAAGAACTGCCGACTATCTCCAAGATTAGCTGTGGAGACCACAGGTGCACTTGATGCTAGAGCGCCATCCACTACATTTGGATACTTAATTCTCATGTACGCACTTAACATTCCTCCATAACTGGGAAAGAGAATTAGAATACAGGATATCAGAATTGCATTTTGTGGAATGTTACTGATTTTTTGATTTCAATGTAGAAAATATCAACATTGCACAAAGAAGACAATTTCTGCTCATGGTGTAAACAACAGATAAAAAAAAAGCCATCTAACCATAACCAAAATACTTAATCTCCAGCTTCAAAACATCCTTCTGCAGAAGTGTGTACCTTCTTATTTCAGAACTCAGTCTCATTATTTCCCTGGGTGAGATGAATGCCAAAACCTATCTCTCAAGGAACAGGTTATTGGAGGCTCTATACAGGAAATACAGTCAAGGAGTTTGTCTTGTTTGTTGTTGAAAGGCTCCTTATATGCCAACTATATGGGTGAAGTAGCCAACTGAATGAATGCCGAATCACAGGTCTGCTTCAAACAGCATCCAATGTGGAATGTGTTTTCTGGTCAGAAATTCTTTGAAGGCAAGTTTCAAGATGTGGCTTCATTACTCAGAAAATACTGTCCATTTATTATAAGGCATCATAAACTGACTGACTTTCTCAAGTAGAAAATATTACAATTGAGAAATAGCTGAATGGGCCACAAAATGACCTAAGACCTTACCTATATTTGAAACCACTGTAAACATTACTCCTTTGCTCTTACAAGATTAGGATGTCAGAGGAATTTCTACGTCGGATCCAGGGATTTTATAACAGGTTGCATCAACAATATCACAACAAAAAACTCAACCCGAAAGAAAATCTAATGAATGATTTGCAACTCAAAACTAAGGAAGAACAAGTGAAAGGTGAATGTAAGGAATGAGGCAGCTAAATCATAACATCATGTACCCTTTTTGGCAGGGATCGGTACGTTACTGCACCTGCTCACAGGCAACAGGTGCAGGAGCAAAAGACATTTACTACATCCACCATGAGCAGCCTGCAAAAGCTGAAGGCTTGAGAACAGACATACGTCTCACATAAAATGCCAACGAAAAAGGCATGATAAAAGCATTCGGACCAGTGAATTTATGGAAATCTGCAAGACCGTACCGAACGAGAAATGCAGTACTTTTTCTGCAATACTGTGATTTTTTGACAGGCATGTGTTTTAACTTCAATTGAGATCTCACTCTTAAGCACTCTTGCCACCAGTCCTGACATGCTTTTTTAACATTCCTCAATGGTCACCTGGCTTGAACATAGAATGAGGGATTTTCAGGCAATGAACTTGAAGATTATTGTAAATTAAAATACTTCCTGCTGGTCTTGTTGTATGCCTCATGCTGAGCAATTTGATCTCTTCTGGATCTATCCCATTTAGCACAAAGCTCTACATGATGGAGGCTGTCCTCAGTGTCTCTACAAACATTGACATGGTTGGATGCATCTGCAATAGACTGATGATGACGAGTCAAGTAGATTTTCTTCCTCATATTATGGTTTCATCACCTGCCACATGATTAGTCTGGTCAGTAAGAGTTTCAGGATTCAGCCAGCTCAGTCAATAGCAGTGAGCCACTTTTAGGTGATGGACAATGAAGGCCCAAAGCCACAGTACATTCTGTACCCTTTACATGTCCTTTGATTGTCATCTTCCTCAACCCCTCCCAGACACTTGAATTGCTTGACTGCTGGTCCAACAATAATAAAAATGTAGAAATTTCCTCCAGCTAAATATTGGAAAGATCTGAAGCCACAAGTCCCTGCCACAAATTCTGTACTCAAACTATCCTTCTCCATGTTAACTGTCAGGTGTGTAAATACTATTTTAAAATGTTTTACTGTAAAAATGACATGGTGTTATTTTTAACCCCAAGATGAGCTTTCAACCACTGCAGGACCATCACAAGATCTCCAATGTTCATCTCCATACCGAGCCCTGACTCCGTAGTCTCAGTTCACTGGCTGCTGAAACACTCATGCATTACTAACAAGTTTGAGACTCAATAATTTCAACAAAATGACACTTTTCGTCTTGCTCATTTTCGAAATGAAAAAATATTATTTTCTCCTCACTTTGGTATTTCTTGCAATTATCCCAATGCCGGTTCAAGGCTTATATAGTCTCAACAAAATGTGGTTTTTTTTCGGCAGCATGCAAATTCTTACTACCAAACAAACTCAATACAAGCTTATCACATTCTAGGCTTTGTAAACTTGGTCATCCAAATGCTATCTCCTGTTCACACACCACCCTTCTGCTCATTGACTAAAATTGATTTCCAGTTAAAAATCACATTGATTTTAAAATTCTTAATCTTGTCTTTAAATCCCTCCATGGTCTCTCCCTCTCAATTTCCACCAGCCCACATAATCCTCTGATGTAGCTACAAGCCACTATTTTGTGCTCAGCATCCCAACTTTAGTAGCTCTATTGCGAAGGGCCATATATTCAGCTGTTAGGATCCTCGGGCTCTGGAAATCTTTCATAAATTTCTCTATCTTGCTAATAATTTCTTTTTTAAGGTGCTTCTTAATACCTGGCATTTTGGCCATTCACCTCAACATCTCTGTGTGGCCTGTCATAAAATACTTTTCATAATAATCCTTTGATACTAAAAGGCAGTATACTAATACAAAGAGTTGTTGCTGTCCAAGTTGGTAGGCGGCGTGACCAGAGATTTTCCTCGCCAACATCTGACCTCACATAATGAGACTTCATGAGTCAACGCTGAAGCCCTCAAAACCACTTCCTTCTAAATGTATACCACTGTGGCTGGCGGGTCAGACCTGCCGATTGGACAGGCCATATCTACAACAGTGATGGAGGTGTCTGGAATGTTAGCTGAAAGCTAACAGTAAGATGATGTCATGCTGTTACTTGGTATTGCGTGGGATTGTTCTCTCAACTTTGACAGACATGTTGATGTGAAGGATTTTATAAGGCTGACATTGACTTGGTCACATGCAACAGTGGATGCTCTGTTCAGTTCCCTTTTTAATACAATTTTTGCAACAGGTTCATTAATCTGAGAGGGTTACAAACCCTTTCACTGAGCAGTTAAGAGAGTCAGCAACATTGATGTCGGTCTGGATTTGCAGACACTTGGACTGGGATGTTTCCTTCCCTAAAGCACTCTGGTGAACCAATGAATTTTTACGACCACCTGGTAATTTTATGACCGCCATTCTAATATTTACTTATTCCAAATTTAATAATTTAAGGGGTTCAATTTTTCCAAGAGTGCTGATGGGTTTTGAACACAAATCCCTGGATTATTAGGCCAGGAATGTAACTCACATGCTTCTGTACCCTAAGACAGTTAAAGCCTTAGGCACCCAGTTACTTGATTGAAAACACTGGGAGACTACTTGGAAACAGTCATGACAGCAGGTTTTACCTACAACAGAGACACTGGTTGGGCTGTTCTTATGCTGACTGCTGAGCAGTGGCATGGTAGATGAATCTGATGAGGCAGCTTTCCTCTTGAGTGTCTGCATATCCTGTCACTCCAACTAAGATCCTTAAAAAGATTGAGAACAAGCAGACACTAGGGTTCAGCTCGATTAGAGGGAATTCACAGCATGTTCAGGAGAAACAGTAGGGCAAACACCAGCTGATCAGTGGCATGGTTTGTCCATTATAGACGGAATTTTCAAGTTACACTGTTCTGTACTCTCCCTACCTGTGCAGCAAAACCCTCTCATATCACTCTCTCCTTTTCTTCCTGCGCTCATTGGGACAGCTCATCATTCTGTTGTATGCCCACCCTAAAGTGGAGCAGCATGCAACAGTAAAAACTGCACAATTTGGCTGGAACATTAAGGGTCACTCAGCTTGAGCGGTCCTAAATGACTGCTTCAAAATCTCTTTGCCAATATTCTGTGTAGCCCTTAAATGTAGTTTATTCATTCACAAGGCCACTATAGTTTGTTTGCTTTGAAAAAGTAAAGATGAGCATCACACAATTAATGTGTACAAAGCAAAATATGACAGAAGAACAAGTTCCACTGGTATCTAAAAAGCAATACAGCATCACAAACAATTGACTACTTTTGAAACAGAACATTGTCAACTGCATAGTGGAAATCCTATAGTATATACAAGACCCAAAATATTGCTATATGTGTCCCATGCAAATTTTATCAGAATTCAATTAATGCAAGTTTTATACGGCATATCAAAGTATGGTAGGTGCTCTTCCACAAAGAATCAAGTTTTCTACATGGGTAAATAAATGAGCAATTAATCACATTATCATTAGTTGGAAGTACTACAGCAAATTTAGTTATTTTGGAAGTGAAGGAAGAAAAATTGAAGTTTTTGATTACGAAAGCATCAGAGCTTTAAACTTAAATGTATTTTCTCTATTAAATATAAAATACATATTTACCTGCCACCAAAGGCAATCACTGCACAACTTTTAGCATCAAGATCAGTTTTCAGCTTTGTAATAAGAACCACATAATCTGCTAAAGTTTGCTCCACTGTTAAAAACTCCATGTTTGATCTTTCATATGATTTTTTGCCAAAAGGAAGGGATTTTCCATAGTATCGCTGCAGAATTAAAATAGAAAATGTTTGTTTTGGTTACAAACAATTAAATATTTACAATTAATTGTTTAAAAATAAATGACACCATACCAACATTGAAATGAACAAGGACTCTGAGGTTTAAAAATAATTAGTACTTATTAAATAAAATGTAACAAAAACAGAAATTGCCGGAAAAACTCAGCTGATCTGGCAGAATCACAAGCATCTGTGTTCCGAAGAAGGGTCAGTGGACTTAATGTTAACTTTCTCTCTACAGATGGGTTTATTCAGCAATTCATGTTTTTGTTTGAGGTTTAGTCTGCAGATTTGTTTTATTTAAATAAAGTGTAACCCTGGCTGCGAGGTGATGAGAAATGGGAACTGAATATCCAGGGGTATCCAGTTTTTGGGAAAGACTGGTAAAGGAGGAAAATGAGGTGCGGTAGCATTGTTAAAGAGAAACATTAACAAAAAAGTAGGGTAAGATATTAGTTTCGCTGGAGTGGAATCTGTACGGGTAGAGTTAAGAAATATGAAAGGACAGAAAACAATACTGGGGACTGTGTATACACCCCCACTGTAGTGGTTATGTTGGGGTTGGCATTAAACATGAAAGTAGAGCTGCAAATAATAAAGGTACAGCTGTAATTATGGCCAACTTTAATCTGCAAATAGATTGGGCAAATCAAACCAGTAACAATACTGTACAGGAGAAAGTCCTGAAGTATGCATGAGATGAATTTTGGATCAAAAAGGTTGAGAAACCAACCGGAGACAGGTAATCTCAGACCAGGCACTGTGTAATGAGAAAAGAAAAATCGGAAATCCCACTGATCAAGTCCCCTTAGGTCCTGAGTCTGAATAGAGGTAACTATGACAATATGAGGCATGAGCTGACTACAATAAATTAGGGAGCATTACTTAAAGGGATAATGGTGAAAAGGCAATGGCAAAGGTTTAGAGTGCATGGCAGAACTGCAACAATTGTTCATTCCTGTTGGGTACAAAGGTAAAATGGAAAAGGTGGCAGGCTGTTTGTTATGGACCAGATCAAACCCTCTCAAAATATATTAAGAAGATAGTCTAGACCCTGACGTTTTCTTATTTTAAAGGTAAGTGGAAGGTGTCACATTCCAGATGCAATTTGACTGGTCAAACTATCAGATTTGAATAAAACATACTTTATTCATACAGTACAGTTAAAATTAGAAATTTGAGTAACTTAACTCCGGTGGAAAACTTAACAGAAGACAAAAATGTTTGTGAACACAAGGCCTAATAAGAGAGGGGAGACTAAAGAATATCAGTATTAGTGAAATACTGTTGCAGAAATTGACTGAATTAAATAAAAACCGAAAGAACTGCGGATACTGTAAATCAGGAACAAAAACAAAGTTGCTGGATAAGCTCAGCAGGTCTGGCAGCATCTCTGAAGAAAAAAAAAATTAACATTTCGGGTCTTCCTCCAAACTGAGGATTCGTTCCTCAGTTCCTCCATTCTCAGGAACGGTTACCTGACCCAAAACGTTAACTCTATTTTTCTTCACAGATGCTACCAGACCTTGATTTAATTAAAGGCTGACAAAATCCTTGGGGCCTGACAATCTACATCCCAGAATACTTTCAAGATCCTATAAACTCTGGAACAGCTCCTAAGGTATGGAGGGTAGCTAATATAACCTTACTATTTAAAAAAAGGAGATGGAGAGAAAACAGGGAATTATAGACCAGTCAACCTGATGTTAATAGAAGGGAAAATACTATAGTCTATTAGAAAGGTTTTAATAGCAGAGCATTTGGAAAACAATACCAGGACTGGACAGAGTCAGTATGGATTTACGGAAGGGAAATCAAGCTTGACAAATTGGCTGGAACTTTTCAAGGGAGATAATGTGGGTGTGGTTTACTTGGACTTTCAGAAAGCATCTGATAAGGTCCTACATATAAAATTAAAGCAGATGGGGTTGGGATAGTGTACTGATATGGATAGAGAACTGGCTGGCAGGCAGTATCAAAAAAATGGATCATTTTCTGAGTGGCAACCAGTGATCAGTGGGGTACTGCAGGGATCAATGCTAGGACACCAGCTTTCTTACTCTTCTGAACTCCAATGAGTATAGGCCCACCTTTTCATCATAAGATGACGTCCTTATTCCAGGAATTAATCCAGCAATATTTTCTGAACTGCTTCTGATGCAAGTACATTTTGCCTTAAAAAGGAGACCAAAATTGTGCACACTACTCTAGGTGGTCTCACCAATGACCTAAAAGGTTGCAGCAAAATTGCTCCACTCAGACTCCTTCCCATATTCAACAAAAGATCAACATTTTATTTGCCATCCTGTCAACTTGTTGCATCAGCATTTTGTAATCCATATACAAGGACACATAATTTATTGCTCACGATCTCTTAGAAAATATTTATTTTCTTATGATTTACCTTATGAGCCATGGAATATTTTTCCAATTACCCATAAACAATATGACAGTTTACTGAATTTACCTGCACTTCAATACCAGTTGTTCGCAATCAGTATTCAAGTCAAGTCTTCAACTGGGCATTTATGGAATGCTGTAATAACATTTTAAATTATTGAAGAATTGGGACTTAACTCCAGAGATATGCTAAACGACCTTTTGAAGTTCAAATCTACATCACATGGACTGCTGCAGTTCAAGGCTGCATTCATCACCACCACCTTCAAGGGCAACTGGAAATGGACAATGAATGTTGGCCCAGCCACTGACACAAATTTTTATGAATTCAGCTTCTCATCAACTTTGTTATTTATTCAAAAATGGTGAAGATTGTTGGGTTTCTGCAAACCATGCTGCAGCTTTGTAACGCTATACGTACTGGGAGCATGGCCATATAAAGTTCATTCTAACAAATGATGCAACAATATTTACCATATTAAAACAAACTAGGGCAAAGAATATAATGAATTGTATCCAAAGTGGAAGTGACTGTTAAGCAGTTTGCTTAATTAACAGATACAAAATGAACTCCAGCTACTTAACATAACCTTGCCTGGTCAAAATCCAACTTTTGAACTTAATATTGCACTTTTTGATAGGCTGAACCTAAGTCCAAAGTAATTTTGAAATCAGTAACTTTTAATGACCAAGACTAGGGTGAAACTTACATGCTCAGCAAAAATGACTAGGGCCTGCTGCTCAGATGCTAATTCAATGACGAACCTAGAGCTATTGGCAAAATCCCATATGTCACCTTCATTTCCAGTATACAGGAATATTGGTCCAAAACTCTTGCTCCAGAATTCATCTGTACATAAAAAGACAGTAATTAGTTACAGCACATAGCTTTCTTCAAACATATTATTTCATTATCACTGGGTCAAGATCTTAATAGTCCCTGCTTAACAGGTTCATTGGATTTTCCTATGAGGAGAGATTGAGCAAGTTGGGCTTGTAAATATTAATGAGTTTAGAAGAATGAGAGGAAACCTTATTGAAACAGAAAAGATTCCTAGGAGGCTTGACTGGGTAGATGCAGAGAAGCTGTTTCCCCTTGTGGGAACAGTCTAGAGTAAGGGGGCATAATCTTAGAGTAAGGGGTCGTCCATATAAAACGGAGATGAGGAGAAATGTCTTCTCTCAGACGGTAGTGAATCTGTGGAATTGTTTTACAGCAGCGATCTGTCAAACCTGGGTCATTAAGTATTGTTAAAGACAGATTTTTTTTAAATCTAAAAGGGATCAAAGTTTCTGGGAACAAGGCAGGAAAAGCAGAATGAGGATCATCAGATCAGCCATGGTTTCACACAAAGCATATCTGATAGGCCATATAGCTTCTGTGTCTAATGGTCATTGTTCAACAGGTAGCTCCTCTTTATCTGCAAGATCAACAGGGATAAGAAATAATTGTCCGAGCTGCTCATGATGCCCATATTCCAAGAACGAATCTCTTAAAAAGGTATCCCGTTTAAATAAATGTTGCACAAGCTGCCCATGCGTGCAATATACCCATACAAAGCTAATGTATAAAAAAATTCACATTTGCTCTTGGAATGTGGTTATCACTGGTAAGGCCTTTATTGTTTGAGCATTGACAAATTATCCCTAAACTGAATAGCTTGCTGCCCGTTTCAGAGGGCTGTTAAGAGTTATCAACTACGTTGCTGTGGGTCTGAATTCACATGCTGGGTCTGACCAGTTAAAACTGCAGATTCACTTCCGTAAAGGGCATTAGGGAACTGGATGTGTTAAAATTATACTAGAAGGACTTTAAATGGAACAGGCCTTAACCGTTATAGACTTGTAAAATTATAAATTTTCAGCTTAAAGGATCTAAGCACAAAATAATGTACTGATCAGAGCTTGATATACCTCCATCATATTTTTTAAAAAATGACTTTCAGCAATTCAGTCCTAGATATAGTTGTCTGAGAAAATTCATGTCTGTTGTAATGCTACTTCACAGTTTTATTTCAAAAACAAACTAAAATAGGGTCTAGGCCCGAAACGTCAGCCTCTCTGCTCCTATGATGCTGCTTGGCCTGCTGTGTTCATCCAGCCCTGCACCTTGTTGTCTAAAATACATTACTACTGGGGTAGTTATCGAGGAAACCAATATATTTATTTACTAGAACAAAAACAAAATAGACTTCAAGTGCCTTTTGAAACAGAACGTAACTACTGCCAAAATGTAGGCCTTTATTCTGATTAAAAGGAGAATTTTTTTCAATTCATTTAGGGGATGAGCACGTCTCTGGCTACGTCAGCATTTATCGCCCATCCCTAATAGCCTAGAGGACAGTTAAGAGTCAACCACATTGCTGTGGATCTGGAGTCATATGTAGACCAGACTGGGTAAGAATGGCAGATTTCCTTTCCTAAAAAGGACACTAGTGAACCTGATGGGTTTTTGCAACAATCAAAAATGGCTTTATGGTCATCATTAGACCCTTAATTTCAAATACTTTATTGAATTTAAAATCCACCATCTGCCGTGGCGGGATTTGAACCCAAGACATAACTCAATTCCTGGATTAATAGTCACACGACTCCACAACAATAGTCTCCCCCCAGATGATGCTGAAAATTCAGCATATTTGGGGCTTCTTTCTCTGTTGAATTACCTGGGGTTCACAGGCTTTCACAACAACATTATTTGACCCCCACACCTGTTTATTCATGAAGACATCATTTACTGCACAGCCCCTATCTGATTCAACAATGACCTGCTGAACATTTTGGAATAGTTCTATTTTATCATATTAACATGACACAGCTTTTGTTTCTTTCCACGTGATATGTGGTCATAATCAGACAATTCACTTCTCCAAGCTTCTTAGCTAAACTTCGGTACAAGCTACTGAATTGGGTGTTTTAAAGAGCACTAACAGTTTCATGACTGAAAGGTTCAGGCACCAGCATGTTTATCTGTGTTATGATGCATCACAGTGTGGGAGATTTTGAAATGTTCTCGGGCCACTTCGTGACAGACAAATTTAACTCAACCAAAATAGAAAACGTATGGACTGAGGAGTGACAGATAGAGTTTAATTTGAATAAATGCTGGCTATTGCATTTTGGTAAAACAAGCAGGACAGGACTTATACATTTAAAAGTAGGGCCTTGAATATTATTGTAAAACAGAGACCCAGGGGTTCAGGTACACAATTCTTTTAAGTTTGTGTCATACGTAGACAGATGATTGCGAAGGTGTTTAGCATACTTGTCTTCATTGCAACTCTTTTTCAAAGAACTGAGCAATGGCATGTTGAGGTTGTACAGAATGTTGGTGAGGCCTCTTCTGGAGTGTTGTGTCCAGTTCTGGTTGCCCTGCTATATAAAGGATATTAAGCTGGTAAGGGTTTAGAAAAGATTTACTAGGATGTTGTCAGGAATGGAGGGTTCGAGTTAGAAGGAGAGCCTGGATAGATTGGGACATTTTTCACTTGAGCATAGAAGGTTGAGGGGGCGACCTTATAGAGGTTTATAAAATTATGAACAGCATACAAAAAGTGAATGGCAGGTGTCTTTTCCCTAGGGTGTGGGAATTTCAAGTCTCAGGGGCATATTTGTGGGAGAGAAGAGAAAGATTAAAAAAAAAGACTTGAAGGGTAACTTTTTTTAAAAATAGGGAGTGGTTCATGTGTGGAATGAACTTCCAGAGGAAGTGGTGGATGCGGGTACAGTAACAATGTTTAAAAGATATTTGGATATGTACATGAATAAGAAATGTTTGGATAGATGTGGGCCAGGCACAGGAGGTGGGACTAGTTTAGTTTGGGATTATGGTTAGCATGGACTGGTTGGACTGAAGGGTCTGTTTGCGTGTTGAATGACTCTATGATAAAGACAAACCTCAAAATATTCAATAATTGAACTACATCATTCAGATTTCAACAACACTTCCAGGCACCCCAACTCTTCCCCGATCACAGTAACTAATTAAAAAAATCTCAATACCAAGTGATCTGCTGTGCTGCAATACACCTTCATTTAGGCATTCAACAGCCTTCCTTCATCATCACTAGGTTAAATCAGAAATTCTACACCCACAGTGCAAGTCATTTAAGATATAAACAAAATAAACTTTTAAACAAACTTTAGATAAGTGTAAAAAATGAATCAATAAGCGGGCTGGGCTGCCAGATGGAACAGACTTTTTTTTTAAATTCACTCCTGGGACATGGACATATTGCTTGTCCCACTTTGCCCTTGAGAAAGTAGTCGTTAAATGCCTTTTTGAACTGTTGCAATCCACATGGTATAAGTAAACCATAATGCCATTAGGAAGAGAATTCCATGATTTTGAACCAACACCACTAAAGGAACAATAAGATTTCCAAGTCAGAATGGTGAGCAGCTTGGATGGGAACAATGCTCTTGTCCTTCTAGATGGTAGTGCCTGAGAGTTTGGAAAATATGGTCCATGGATCTTTGATGAATTTCTGCAGTTTTTCTTTTATATAGTATACAGTGCTGCTATTGAAAGTTGGTGGAAGAATGACTAAGTGTTTGTGGTTGTGGTGTCAATTAAAAGTAATGCTTCTTCCTGGCTGGTACCAAAAACCTTGCATGTTGTTGGAGCCACACTCACCCAGGCAAGTACAAATAATCATCACGCTCCTGACTCGCGCCTTGTAGATGATGGACAGGCTTTGGGGAGTCAGAAAGTGAGTTATTCACTTCAATATTCCTAGCCTCTGACTTGCTCTTGTAGCCACTGTGTTCAGTTCAATTTCTGGTCGTGGCAACTCCCGAGGATGTGGGGTTCCAGTTATGGTAATGCCATGAAATGTCCAAGGGGTAGTGGTTAGATGGTCTCTCATTGGAGATGGTCATTGCCTGGCATTTGTGAGGCACAAAGGTTAGTTAACACATTTCAGCCCAAGCCATTGTATTTGGATTTTGTATTGTATTGGAAATGGACTGCTTCAGTATCTGAGGAGTGTACAACGGTGCTGAAAAACATTGCACAATCATTGCAAGCATCCCCACGTCTGACTTTATAAGACCATAACATATACAAGCAGAAACAGGTCATTCGGCCCATCAAGTCTGCTCCATCATTCGATCATGGCCGATATGTTTCTAACTCTTGATCTCTTTACTAATCAAGAACCTACCCGTATCCTAAGAATGGTCAATGACTTGGCCTCAACAGCCTTTTGCGGCATTGAGTGCCACAGATTCACCACCCTCTGGTTGAAGAATGAGGTTGTGCCTCTGGTCCTAGTCTCTCCTATTATGATGGAAGGAAGGTCATTGATGAAGCAGCTGGACAATGTTGGGCCTAAGAAACTAACCTCAGCAACTCCTGCAGAGATGTTCTGGAGCTGGGATGACTGACCTGCAACAACCACAACCATCTATGTGCCAGGTATGACACCAACTGGCAGAGCATTTTCCCTAATTTCCATCAATTCCAGTTTCACCGGGACTCACTGATACCACCCTCGGTTATAAAGGGTCTTGATATCAAGTGATGTATTTCTCACCTGACCTTTCTTTTGTCCATGCTTGAATCAACACTAACAAATTCAGGAGTTGAGTAGCTCTGACTGAACCCAAACTGGGTGTTAGTGAACAGGTTCTTGCTAAAGCAGGTGCTGCTTGATAGCATTATTGATGACACCTTCCATCACTTTACTGCTAACCATCAAGAGTAGACTGATGCAGTTGACCGGGTTGGATTTGTCCTACTTTTTGTGTATAGGCCTTACCTGAGCAACCTTCCACAAAGCTGGATAGATGCCAGCATCTTTGCTGTACTGGAACAGCTTCGCCAAGGGCAAGGCACGTTCTGGTGCATGTGCTCGGTCCTACAGCCAGAATGCTGTCAGGACCCATAGCCTCGGCAGTATCCAAAGCCTTCAACAATTTCTTGATATCACGTATAGTAAATCAAATTGGTTGAAGATTAGCATCTGTAATGCTGGGGACCTCTGAAGGAGCTGAGATAGATCATCCACACAACGCTCTTGGCAGTAATTTGTTGTGAATGTTTCAGTCTGATTTTTTTTATACTGATGCGCTGGACTGCCCCATCATTGAGCTGCCTCCTCCAGAGAGTTGTTTAATTGTCTCCTACCATTCATGATCCGATGTGGAAGGACTACAGCGCTTACAGCTGATCCATTGGTTATGGGATCATTTTGCTGCTTATGATGTTGGCAAGCAGTTGTTTTGTAACTTCACCAGGCTGACGCCTCATTCTTAGGTATGCCTGGTGTTGCGCCTGGCATGCTCTCCTCCACCCTTAACTGAGCCATAGCAGATGGTAGTGGTGGAGTTAGGAATATTTACTTTTAGTTTAAAATAGAGCTTTATTTTCAGCATAAAGAGTACAGTGGAGTAGGGTATGCCGTGCCAAGGCTGTAGATTATTTTGGAGTATAATTCTTCTGCCATTGCTAGTCCACAGCGCCTCATAGATGTTCTGTCTTGAGTTGCTAGATCTGTTCAAAGTCTAACCCACTTAGCACGTTGGTAGCATCACACCACACAGTGCAAGGTATTTTCAATGTGAATACAGGACTCTGTCTTCACAGAACTGTGTAGTGGTTACTCTTACAGACCATGGACAGATGCACTTGCGGCAGATTGACAAGTTGAAATATTTTTCTCTGTTGTTGGTTCCCTCACCATTTTCAGAATTCCCAGTCTAACAATAATGTCATTTAGAACTGGACCAGCTTGCTGAGTCATGCTGCTGCCGAGCCACTCTTCACAGTGGACACCAAAGTCTCCCAGAGTACATACTAACCCCTTGCCACCCTCAGTGCTTTCTCCAAGTGTTGTTCAACGTGGAGGAGCAGTGATCCATCAACTATCCGAGGATGGTACACGGTAATCTGCAGGAGGTTTCCCTGCCATGTTTGACCTGATGGCATGAGACTTCCAGGGCAACTCCATCCCAATTGCATACCGCTGTGCTGTCACCCCTGCTGGGCCTGTCTTGCTGCTGGGACAAGACATATCCAGGAACGGTGGTGGTGTCTGTGACATTGTGTGTAAGATATGATTCCGTGAGTATGAATATGTTAGGCTGTTGCTTGAATAGTCTGTGTGGGAATACTCTCCCTATTTTGGCACTAGTCCCCAGCGGCAAGGAGGACTTTGCAGGGTTGTCTGTGCCATTTTTATTTCTTATGTCAGACAGTCTGTCCAGTTTAATTTCTCTTTTGAGACTTTGTAGTGATTGTTACAACTGAGTGGCTTGCGTGGCCATTTCAGAGGACACAGTTGAGAGTCAAGCACATTGCTGTTGGTCTGAAGTCACGTGTCAGCTAGACTAGGTAAGGATGGCATATTTCCTTTCATGGAGGACATTAGTGAACGAGATGGGTTTTTTTTTCCATTTCCGGTTTCCCTGTGATTAGACTTGCAATTCCAAACAATATTTTGTTACATGCAAATTCCACCATCAACTCAGGTTGCCAGAACATTACCCAGGTTTTCTTGATTAACTGTCAATAATACAACTAGGACACATCCTCCCCCTCTCTGGGGAATTCACACTAAAATGGCCTGGTTGTAATGTACAGCTTGTTTCCGTCTCATACAATCTATGCATTACCACAGTGAACATTAAAACAAGGACACCAGTCGTCTACTATCATTACTATCATTATCTACTAGGAACGAAAATAAACACAGCCTTCTCAGGATCATCCATATGGAATAGGCAAATATTAAGAAGTGCTCAAAACCAGCTTCAAATAGTTAGAGTTATAACAAAATATTTGAACATTTTTCTTGGCATTCTGCCCTTTACACTGCTAAATAATTTAGAATGGCTTAGTAGTGCATTAGTAAATAGCTGTTTAATTCAATAACCCTTTATTTTTCAATTTTTCCCAGCATACAATTTTTGACTTTCAGCAACTTACCCTTGCAGCAACTTTCCTTTCAAGAACTCAAGATGGTGTTAAATTGGCAGGTAAACCAAAGGAAACCTTTTTCATTCAGTATACGCACGTACGAGACAAGAAAGTAGCTTTCCAACGAAAGGAGCAATAACCTTGTCTGGACGTGTATTCTCCTTGATACCGGAGCGATAAAACCAACTCTAGTCTTTATGATAAAGGAATGGAGACACTGAAGAAGGTGCAGACAAAGATGGTGCAAAAACTGAGAAATTAGAAGAGACTAAACATACTGGGCTTCTTTACACAGGAAGAAAATTGAGAACTGGTCTTGGGCCTCAATTTGATAAAAATGTAAATATGCTTCCTACCTGGGAGAATCCAAAACCAGGGGCCATAAATATGCTAGTTACTAAAAAGAAATCCAATAAGAAGTTCAAGGGCAACTACTCAGAGAGGGTTAAATTGTAGAACCTGCTATCGCACAGATAGCTGGGGCACACAGAACAGATATATTTATGGTAAGTTAGGTAAGTACTTGCATGGTGGCTCTGTGGTTAGCACTGCTGCCTCACAGTGCCAGGGACCCGGGTTCAATTCCACCCTTGGGCAACTGTCTGTGTGGAGTTTGCACATTCTCCCCGTGTCTGTGTGGGTTTCTTCCAGGTGCTCCAGTTTCCTCCCACAGTCCAAAGATGTGCAGGCTAGGTGGAGTGGCCATGCTAAATTGCCCGTAGCGTTCAGGGATGTGTAGATTAGGTGGGTTATAGGGGAATGCTCTCAGGGTCAGTGTGGACTTGTTGGGCCAAAGGGCCTGTTTCCACACTGTAGGGATTCTATGAATAAAATGAACAGAACAATTCATTGAACAAACAATGGGAAAAGGTTTGTTGGAGCAGAAAGACCAACATATAAAGTTGTTGGACTTGATCTTTTCTTAAGCTGTAATTATCATGCAAGAATCTGTGGCATTTGCTCCTTCTCCCATCCCAACCTCCATAAGATCAGCTAATTTACTAAATAGCAAACCAGCATGTTTAATGATGCAAACATCATACTGACTGGTTGATTTCACTCAGTAAATGTATTAGGACGTCAGACGCTGTTCTACCATTAGCCTATCAGTACCAAAATGACAACTCAAAAGTAAAGCTCCTCTCTCACCGGAAAGAAGATATCTTTGACGATAGAGTTTTTGATGGGAGGTGAAACTGAAATGGTCCACAAGCTGATCAAAATACATTTCTTTGAATTGTGGTTCTGGGACCGTTATTTTATCCGCAACATTGGTAACACTTATTCTTTTGTCACTTATGTCAAAAGTGTCTTCAACTTCAGAGTCCGTCTCATCACTATTAGTTGTGCCTTGAGTGGTCAAGATAGCAGCTGGTGTTTTGGTGGCAGACTCTGTCTCACTAACACCAATGACCGGAACAATGATGCCAGCGTTGACACCCTGGACACTGACGGCTAGGACTTCAGTGACTGCATTGGTCTCAGTGATGTTAATTACTGGAGCACTGGTGTTGGTGACATGATCCAGGGTCCCGGTGCCCGAGGTTTTGGAATTGGTGTCTGTACTCGTGATATTGATGACTGGGGCATAAGTGCCAATGACAACCTCCTGGACACTAGTGCTTTGGGCTTTGGAATTAGTGTCTGTAACTGGGATGTTGTCTTCAAAATTAGTGTTGGTGACAACCTCCTGGCCATTGGTGCCTGAGGCTTTGGAATTAGTGTCTGTACTTATGATGACAACTAGGACATCAGTGCTCGTGACACTCTCCTGAACACTGGTGATTGGGGCTTTGGTATTACTCTCTGTATCTGTGATGGTGACGACTGGGACATGGCTGCTGTTGTTGATCTCTTGGATGTTAGTGCCTGGGGTTTTGGCGATAGTGTCTGTATCTGTACCATTGATGACCACAGCACTACTGTTGGTGCTAGTGTCCTCCATGCCAGTAAGTGGGACGCTGGTGACGATGATGACTGAGGTTTTGTTGTTAGCGTTTGTATCCGTGCCACTGATGATAATAACACTACTACTGTTGCCCAAGTCCTCGACGGCATTGCCTGGGACCTTGGTGTCTGGGGAAGTGGTCGTAGTGTCTGTATCCGTGCCACTGACAACCAGAGCACTGCTGCTGGTGCCTAAGTCCTCGACGGCATTGCCTGGGACCTTGCTGACGTCTGAGGAATTGGCGATAGTATTCGCATCTTCGACGCTGATGTCATGGCCACGAGTGACATTGTCCACCTCCTGAATGCTGATGCCCGGGACACTGGTATTGCTGCCAATAATTTGTACGGCCACTGGAAGCTCATGCTGCTGAATGGCGCTCGGGTTCTGATCGACTTCCTTGACGAGGAAGAACACGTTTGGAGATTTCGTCCCGTTGTCACCGGCGGTTTGGTCGACGGGCGGCGGCTGGCTGCGTGCCTCGATCTGGGATTTGGATTTCTGCTTCTTGGGTGGTGGGCCGCCTTTCTGCTTGTGGGGAGGGGCTTTCCCCTCCGCCTTGGCGAGCGACTGTTTCTTGCTCTTGAGCTTCTGCTCCTTCCCGTCCAGGACGAGGATCGATTGCGTCGGCGACTCCAGCAGCAGCAACGAGCCGGGCTCCGATGGGCTGCTGGGGGTCAGCTCCTCGATGATGAGCAGAGGAGGGGGCATGGTGCTGCTCGTGATCTCCGGACTGGGCTCAGGCAGCTGCATGACGATGGTCTCCTCCACGAGGGAGGCCGCAGCGGGCACCTCCAACTGGGGGCTGGTGCTGGTGCTGTTCGTGGTGGTGGTGGTGGTGGTGGTGGTGGCTGTGGCAGTGGCGGTCCCGGTGCCCGACGATATCTTGATGAGGTAGGGGTGCCAGGTGGGCTCGGTGGCGTCCGCCGTGGATTGGCCGATCCCGTTCTCCGTCGACTCCTCCATGTCGATCTCGATTTTCAGCGGGGACGCCCCGCCGTTGCTCTGGGCGGCGGGGGAGGACGAATCGGGCGTGGTACTGTTGTCTCCTTCCTCATCGTCCGCCTCGATCATCAGCGACGCAGTGTCGCCATCGGACTGGGTAGACTCCGCGTGAGACGGAGATGCCCGGGCTGGGACCACTCGTTGCCCGGACGGCGCCGTCAGCCACAACATCAAGAGCAAACGGAACGACCCGCTCCACTTCATGGCGGCTCCAGGGTCCAGGCGACCCGCACGTGACAGCGCCCCAGCCGCCGCCGGCACGTGACCAACCGTCAGCCCATTGTTGTCAGGAGTTCGCTGTTGGGCGCACGCGCAACTCTCCGTCCCGCCCGCACAGATGTACTGCGCTCCGCTAGTGCGGCTGCGCAATCGCCGCGGCAGCCGCTGCGATCGACAACCTGCTGACTTCCGGCAGCTGCGCAGTGTTATCAAGGCGAGCCGGCTATGACGACTGCGCAGTGCTATCAAGGGCGAGCCGGCTATGACAACTGCGCCCTGCTAGGAAGGGCGTGCCAGCTACTGCGCCTGCGCACGAGGAGTTGAGGCACCACGTGGGAACATCATCCCAAAATTAACATGTCAAGTTGTAACTCTCCAAAACGGAGCGAAGAATTGCGGGTGCTGAAAGATCTGAAATAAAAACAGAAATTACCGAAGAAACTCAGCATCAGTGGAGAGAACAACATAGAGTTAAGCTTCGAGTTATGAAGAAGAGTCAGTGGACTGGAATCATTAATTCTGTTTTTGTTTTCTTTCCACAGATGCTGCCAGACTTGCTGAGTTTATTCTGCAATTTCCGTTTAAGGTAAGGTCACCATTGTCGTACCGGATCACAGGGCTGCTCTTTCATTTGAAAGAGAGAGATGACGTGATGGTTTAACCTGAGTCAGGTGAGGGGAAGGGTTGAGAAGACGAACCCTTCATGGTAATCTCAGCCAGTGTGGGGATTGAACCCACATTGTTGTTGTCACTCTGTATCGTAAACCAGCCATCAATAGTAACAGTAGTAGTAGTAAACCAGCCAGTAGTAGTAGTCACTTGTACTCAGACTGCGAGGAATCATGGCAGCACACAGCTGCACTAAGACAGCAACTGACTAAGGTTAAAGACCCAATAGATAGCACGGACAGGAGGAATGTGGTTTACAAGATACCATGCGGAGACTGCATAAAATACTATGTGGGACAAACAGGCATACAACTAACAAACCACATCCAGGAACACCAGCTAGCAACTAAACGATACGACCAGATGTCCTTGGTTTCAATACACACAGCCAAGAAAAACCACACTTTCAACTGGGACAACACTACTATCATTGGACAAGCCAAACAGAGCACAGCCAGGGAATTCTCGGAGGCTTGGCATTCATCCACGGACTCCGTCAGCAAACACATTGAGTTAAATCCAATATACCAACCATTACAACACAGAGCCAAAACTGGCACCTACCAGAAGCAGCAAAAACCAGACAATATAAATTCGAACTAGCACAAGACAACAGCACTTCACGGGAGGCTCCACAGCACTGAGGATGTCACCTTGTAAAGGGACGAAACATTTGTTATCAAATCTCTCAGCTTGGCAAAATCACCAACACCTCCAAGCAGCACCCGAACTACAAATTCACTCAAACCTGAGAAGCAGAGATGTTGTCTTGCTGGGTGTGCAATTTAGAACAAGTGATCATAGTTTCAGAGTACATTGAAGGCAATTTAGGACTAAGAAGAGAAGAATTTTTTTCCATTATATTGACATTGTTCCATTATATTGACAGGCTTTGACTGTTGATCTATAAATAAGCAAAGAAAAAGTAAAATCACATTTTAATTTCAGAGTACCTTGTCAGCAATGATCTCTCAAGAACTATATTTGGAATGTACCCAATTTAGTTTTGTTTTTGCTATGCTCTTGAAAAAGAAATGTGCCAAATGAGAAAATAAACAGATGCTGGAAATATGAATTAACTTTAAAAAAAACTGGAAATTTTTAATCAATGGGTCAGAAGATATCTCTGGAGAGAAAGAGAGATAGTGTTTCCAGCAGAAAAGAAATACTGTCATGATTTGGACTTCTTAAACCAGTGGAGGAGACAGAGGAAGAAAGAGGAACAAAGGAGATTATTTGTGGTAGGTAGGGTGGAGACCATGGAAAATTAAATAACAAGAGATTTCATGATGCAACAGCCAAAGAGACTGGTAAAAATAAAGTAAAAACGGTTCTTTCCAAGAGAGGCATGAATTACTATTTTTTAAAAAAACTGAGTACAACATGAAGGGATAAAGCTAGAAAAAAGACAAAGATCAATCCAAAAAAGGGAGAGGAAATAAAGCGGAGTGTCAAAAGCTAATAGAACAAGGGACAAAAACAGGAATTCTTGGAAAAACTCAGCAGATCTGGCAGCATCTTTGGAGAGAAGCCATAATTCATGTTTCAGGTCCAGTGACCCACAACTTTGTCTCAGGCTTGCAGCAGTGCTCCTATGAAGCGTAACACGAGCTGGAGGAACAGCATTTTATCTTTCACTTGGAGACCCTACAGCCTTCAGGACTCAATATCAAGTGCAATAATTTTGGGACCTGAGCACCCTCTCCCATGTCCTTTCCAACACTCACATACCAGGCTATCATATTGGACTGCTACTACAATCATCCCATTGTTACCTACTATTTTTGGTAAGGCAAATCAGAGCAGGACTTATACATCTAATGGTAGAGTCCTGCGGAGTGCTGCTGAACAAAGAGACATTGGGGTGTAGGTTCATTGTTCCTTGAAGGTGGAGTCACAGGTAGACAGAAGTCACAGGTAGACAGGGTAGTGAAGAAGGTGTTTGGTACACTTGCCTTAATTGATCAGTGAACTGAGTATAGAAGTTGGGATATCGTGTTGGAACGTTGGTTGGGCCACTTTTTGAATACTACATTCAATTTGGGTCTTCCTGCTATAGGAAAGATGTTAAACTTGAAAGGGTAGAGAAAATATTTATAGGGATGTTACCCGGGCTGGAGGGTTTGAGCTATAGGGAGAGGCTGATTCAGCTGGGTTGATTTTCCCTGGAACATTGCAGGCTGAGGGGTGACCTTATAGTGGTTAATAAAATCATGTGTGTGGGTAGGCTGAATAGCTAATGTCTTTTTCCCAGGGTAGGGGAGTCCAAAACTAGACGGCATAGGTTTAAGGTGAGGGGACAGATTTAAAAGGGACCTAAGGGACAACTTTTTCAGCAGAGGGGATGAGTGTACCAAATGTGCTGCCAGAAGAAGTGGGGGAGGCTGGTACAAATACAACATTTAAAAGGCATCTGAATGGATATGTGAATAGTAAGGGTTTAGAGGGATATGGACCAAATGCTGGCAAATGGGACTAGATTAATTTAGGCTTTCTGGTCGGCATGGATGATTTGGACTGAAGGGTCTGTTTCCGTGCAGTACAACTCTATGAGTCTAATGGTCCCCTTTAGCAGCTACTGATTCTCCGAAGCTGACCTTTACTTTGTCTGCACAACTGTTTTTCTTTTTGGGCTGTATCTCCAATTATTGTTTACTCGTTGCCCCCAACCCACCTCATCTTCAGCATGTTTACCAACCTTTTCCTGGATACAATCAGTTCTGAAGAAGGTTCACCGGACCCGAAACATGAATTCTGCTTTCTTTCCACAGGTGCTGCCAGATCTGCCAGGTTTTTCCAGCAATTTTTGTTTCTACCCATCCAGGTGCCTTTTAAATGTTGTATTTATACTAGCCTCCACTTCTTCCTCTGGCAGCTCATTCCGTACATGCACCATCCTCTGCGTGAAAAAGTGGCCTGTTAGTTCCCTTTTATGTCTGTATTGTCTCTTATTCTGAAATCGGTCTGTATCACATTGGAGTAAATAAGCACTGCAATAATAAAAACAATTCTCAAGAACGATTCTATCTAAATATAACCAAATTAACCTACTTCACAATGACTTTGCTGGTTAGTTGAATATTCTGCCGAATTTGTTGATTTAAATTCCTTCCCTCCAATGACCTTCCCTCCATCATAAGGTCAGAAGTGGGGATGTTCATCAATGATTGCACAATGTTCAGCATCATTCACAACTTCTCAGGTACTGAAGCAGTCCATTTCCAAATGCAACAAGACCTGGACAATATCCAGACTTGGACTGACAAGTGGCAAGTGACATTCATACCACGCAAATGCCTGGCTATGACCATCAGAGACAATCTAACCATTGCCCCCTGATCAGAAACTCAACTGAACTCACCACCAGAAAAGACTTGGCCACAAGGGCAGGTCAGAGCTAGGAATACTGCAGCGAGTAACTCACCTGCTAGTTTCCCAAAGCCTGTCCACCATCTGCAAGTCACAAGTTAGGAGTGTGATTGTATACTCCCCACTTGCCTGGATGAGTGCAGTCCCAAAAACTCAAGAAACTTGACACCTCCAGGACAAAGCACTCTGTTTGATCAACACCCACAAGCATCCACTCCCTCCACCACCAACACTCAGTAGCAGCAGTGTGTACTATCTAAACAATGCACTGTTGAAATTTGCCAAAGATCCTCAGACAACACCTTTAAAACCCATGACCACTTCCATTTAGAAGGTGAGGGCAGCAGACATATGGGAACACCATCACCTTAAAATTCCCATCCAAGCCACTCATCATCCTGAGTTGGAAATATATTGCTGTTCCTTCACTGTCACTGGGTCAAAATCCTGGATTACCACCATCACTCCCCCCCCTTCCAAAAGCATTATGGGTCAACTCACAGCAGATAGACTGCAGTGGTCCAAGAAGGCAGCTCACCACCACTTCATCAAGGGCAGCTAGGGATGGACAATAAATGCTGGCCAGCCAGCGATGCCCACATCCCACAAAATGAATTTTTAAAAATCAGTTCAATTCTCATGACTTAATTCATTACAGAGGAAAAGCTTGTACTAAATTTGCGCTGTATAGTTTAATTAGAACACAAACTCAGCTTCAATAATCTAACAAATCTAGTATGTTACTTAACAAAAAAAAGCAAAGAACTGCAGATGCTGGAAATCAGGAACAAAAGCAGAAGTTCTGCGGAAGGGTCACTTGACCTGAAACATTAACCCTGCTTTTGCTCCACAAATCTAGTTGTTGCTTTATGATACTGCATCTAAACATATTCTGTGGAGACAATTTCAGGAAGCTACGAGCATTTATTATATAGCTTGGCACAGTGAGTTTTGTTCCCAGCTGCCTAATATACTTTCAAATCTGGTATGCAGCTGATGGTTTACTGATGCTTTCTCAGTGACTTAAATGTTTCAGGGCTCTGAGCCATTGCCCACACTGTTCATTACTTCAATAATTTTCTCCAC